GGAGGAGGAGGAGGAGGAGGAGGAGGAGGAGGAGGAAGAGGAAGAAATATATAACAAATTAAGAAAAGAAAAAGGATCAACAATTAAAAAAGACATTAACATCATACTACAGTGATATATATGCACCCATGTTTATATCAGTGACAATATAGCTATATTTGTCATAGCTAAATCTTGGAAATAGATTTCCTATCAACTGAGAAATGGATAAAGAAGATGTGGTATTTAGTCCTGTGTCTGAGGAGTACCTGGTAATTTAAGCACTAATTTTTTTTTCCATAGATCAGGAGGAATCCACAGCAGTAGTCTAAACCATCCTGCCTATATACATAGACATATCTCCCTTTCTTGTCCTTCTCAACTCAGTAACTCCATCCTTTTGAATAGATTCTTTCCCTTTTCCCAGTATCTATTATGCCCTTTAGATTCCATTTTCCCTTTCAGGTTCTCACACTATGGAGACAATATGATGTTTGCTCATGTGGGTCTAATTTATTTCACTTAAAAGTATGGTCTCTAGTTACATCCACATACAGACAAAAGCCTCAGAATTATCCTTTTATATAGCTGAATAATACTCCATTGTGTAAAAATATCACATCTTCGTTGTCCATTCCACAGTTGATGGTCATCTGGGTTGTTTCCAAGATTTAGCTATCACAATTTTTTTTTGTATTTTTTAGTAAGGGTCTACATGGTCTCACTACATAGATCAGACTCGTAGTGATCTGCCTGTGTTCAGCCTCCCAGGTTGGCATCATGGCATCACCATGCCCAGTCTCAGTCTCCTCTCAGCACGCCCCAGTAGTGGGGCTGGCACAGCATTCTGGAGATTGAACCCCAGGCGATGCATTTGCCTAAGCTGGTGCTTTAACTGCTGAGCTATTTGGCTGGCCCTAGCTATGACAAATTGAGCTGCTATAAACATGGGTACACATGTAACCCTGTGGTATGATATTTTCTCTTCTTTTGGAGAGATACCCAGGAGGGAAAGAGCTGACTTGAATTGGATGTCCAATCCTAGCTTTTAAAGGAATGTCCTTATTGATTTCCGTAGCAGTTGTACCAGTCTGTACTCCCACCAACAATGGAGAAAGGTTCCTTTTTCCTGACAACCCCTCCAGCATTTGTTGTTGGCTAACTTCTTGATGCTAGTCATTCTTGAAAGAATCTCAGTGTTGTTTTAATTTGCATTTCTCAAGTGACCAAAGATGTTAAACATTTTTTCATGTATTTAGTTGCCATTTCTTTTTGTTCCTCCAAAAAGTATATATTCATCTCAGATGTCCATTTTTAGATTGGGTCTTTGAATTTGAGGGGGGCTGATTTTTAAAAATTCTATATATGTTCTAGATAGAAGGCCTTCATTGGAGGGACAATTAGCTATATTTTCCCCCTTTTGTGGGTATTCTTTTTACTCTGTTGGAGATTTGCTTTAAAGTACAGAAACTTTTCAAAAAGATGAGATCTTACTTGCTGATTCTTTGAAGTATTTCCCATGCAGTTTGGTTTTTGTTTATGAACTCTCTACCTATGCCTAAGTCTTTAAGACTAATACCTACATTTTCCTCAGAAGATTTGGTGTTTCTATTTTATTTAATTTTTTGGTGTTTCCATTTTTAATATTTAAATCTTTGATCCATTTTGATTGTAGTTTATTGCATGGTGATAGACATGGGTCTTATTTTAGTCTTCAGACTATGGAAATCCAATTTTTCCAGCACCATTTATTAAAGAGGTTATCTTTCTTCCAATGAACGTGTTTGGCCTTTTTTTCAAGATAAGATCACTGAGTGTGTTTGTAGCTCTGTCTACATCTTCTAACCTGTTCCAATGATCCTCAGGTCTGTCTTTATGCCAGTACCATTTCAGCACCATTTATTTTTACTATTTTCATTAACTTTATTGAAAATCAATAATTACATACCATTTTAAAAATTGTAGACAAATACTGAAACGTGAAAGATACAAGATGTAGACAGAATGATTTTTAGAGAAATATTTCTGAAATGAATACATCACATAAGATTAATAATAGATTGCACATTGTAAATAATTTACAAACTTAAAAATGAATATAACAATAAAAAGTGTCCAAAATAAAAATAAAGATGAAAGAATTTACAGATCAGTCATATAATAGTTCACTCTGTGTCAAAATCAAGAAACTTATATTCATATAATTAGAATTCTCAAAGTAGAAGGGGGTAGACAATAAATATTTAAAGATTTAAAATTTCTGAATTTAGTTGAAATTATAGCACCACATTTCCAAGAAAAATAAACTTTTGCACAAGAAATTTGAATAAAATCGTACAAAAATACAAAAAAATGAAATTGTTCAAAACTTATTTTTTAACTTAATTTTATTGAGAAAAAGCAATGAGACAGTTTCAAATAGGATAGATTCAATATTTAATGTATTGCATAATGTTGTCTTCATAGTACATGGAGAGAAAGTATTCTCTCAGGCTCTCACAGAGAGCAAATTGGTCAAGCAATGGCAGTGAGTCATCCACATGGCTGACACTGAACAAGGATCTACAAAGTGCGGTACAGGGTTGGTTTTGGGATAAGTCTTGAGGGGACTTCACTGACCTTGTCAGATACAAAAGTTACATTTCTTGATATATAGGTCTTGCTTTATCTTTGTCTTATCCATCCAGCAGAAACATGTAGAAATGAGGTATGAAAAGTGAAGCCATGTTAATATGGAGATCTATGGAAGGCTCAAGTCAACAGATTCGGACATTGCCAATCCTGTGGATAACCCACTACTATTGTGGACTACTGGACTATATTGGAATATTTTGCTGAATTTATGCACCAACAATATGTGGATGGCTATGAAATACCCATCTCTGACAAAACTAAGCATAAAAAGGAGATACAAATGAAGGACAATTCTGTATCTTTATATTTTTTACAAAATTGTTAGGATAGATATATAGCCACTTTTTCTTAATTCAATAAGAAGAAAGATTTGTACTAATAGTGTTTGGCGAGAATTTCATGTCGGCATCTTGAGCTATGAATGACTACTACAAAGACAACAATGTGCAATGTATTAATTATTGTAACTCTCCTACCAACCTGTTTTGAAACTGTCTCATTGCAATTTTTTTCTCAGCACCATTTTTAAAAACTTGCTATCTTTCTGCAAGAAAAGTGACTTTGTCCTTTTGTCAAAGATAATGTGGATGAACATGCCTGGGTTGTTTCTGTGTCTTTGATTCTGTTCCATTGATCCATGAGTCTGTGTTTTTCCCAATACCATGCTGTTTTATCATTGTAGTTTGGTAATGTAACTTGAAGTCCAGGATTGTGATGTTCTTTGTTTTCCCTTGTTGCCAAGAAGCATTTTTGTTTTTCTAGGTCTCTTCTTTCATATAAATTCTAGCATTGGTTGCTCCAATTTTTTAAGAAGTGTTATTGGTATTTTAATTAGGGTTACATTAAATTGATACAACCAGTTTGGAAGTATGGCCATTTTTACTGTATTGCTTGTGCCTATCCAAGAACAAAGGAATATATTTCTATTTTCTGATATCCTATACAGTCTCTTTTTATAGAGTACTACAATTTTCATTGTAGAAGTCTTGGGCTTCCTTAGTTTAGCTCCTAAGCATTTCATTTTTTCTTTATGCTATTGTGAATGGTATTGTTTTCCTAATTATGCTATGAGTTTGTTATTGGCATGAAGAACCAGTATTAATTTTTGAGTGTTGACTTTTTATCCTTCTATGTTACTGAATTTGAATATTAATTCTAGAAATCTGTGATGAAATTTTGTTTGTCTCCTATGTAGAGGATCATGACAATAGCAAATAATGATAATTTAACTTCTTTGTCTATCCATATTTCTTTCTCTTGTCTTATTACTCTAGCTAATGTTTCAAGAAAACTATATTGAACACAAGTGGTAATAAGGGAACATTTTTGTCTTGTTCCTGATTTTAGAGAGAAATCATTCAGCTTCTCTCAGTTTAGTATGGCATTGGCTGTTGGTTGGTCATAGATGGCTTTTATCACACTGAGATAAAGACTTTTTTTTTTTCGGAACCAGGGATTGAACTCAGGCCCTTGTGATTGCCAGGGAAGCACTTACTCCACTGAGCCATCTCCCCAGCCCCTGAGGTAAAGACTTATTGCTGTTTTCTTCAGGGTCTTTTTAAAATCATAAATGGGCACTGGGTTTTGTAAAACGCTTTTTCTGCATCTATTCAGATAATCGTGATTATTTTTTCTTGCATATGTTTATGTGTTGAATTACATTTATTGATTTACTTATGTTGAACGATCCTTGGAATGAAGGCCACTTGGTATAATCATTTTTAATTTTTTTCCTATCCTTATTTATTTTATTTCTTTCCCATAATTTTATTGATAAAGAAATAGCAATGAGACAGTTTCAAACCAAATTGGTAGGTCAGTTTCAATAATTAACACATTGCGTACATTCTTCCTAGTGGTTATTTTCTGTGCAAGATGTGGACATGATATCCTATTTACAAACTCTATAAGAACAATTCTCTATTCAGTAAGAGAATGAAACTATATATCTATCCTAAC